CACTCACACTCACACACACACACACACACACACACAGTCACACTCATAGACACACATATTATACACACACACTCTCTGTACAGACATTTTTTCGGTGCTGCCAGTGTCCCATGAGTAATGTGTGTGTGTGTGTGTGTGTTGCAGATAAACCGGTCTCAGACAGTAATGTGGATCTGTGGGAGGACAACAGAGTTGAGGATGATCTTTCACCAGAGGAAATACAGATGGTATAAACTCCCACACACACACACACACACACACACACTTCATCATCATGCTGTGTAACATTGATGCAGTGATCACTGTGTGTGTGTGTGTCAGTTCGAGCAGGAGAATCAGAGGTTGGTTGGGGAGATGAACAGTCTGCTGGATGAAGTCAGGTGACACAATTACACACGATTAACAAACACATGCATGTGACATATTGATTAGAGTGGAAGTGATTTCATTCTGAGTGTCAGAAGAGTGACTGGAGACAGTTCAGAGTCATTAGAATCAGACTGCGACATGTGTGTGTGTTTGGATCTGTGATGTTACAGTGAGTTATTAACACTGAGATCTGCTGAAATCGTGTGTGTACTGATTGTGTGTGTACTGATTGTGTGTGTACTGATGTGTGTGTGTGTACTGATTGTGTGTGTGTACTGATGTGTGTGTGTGTGTACTGATGTGTGTTTGTGTACTGATTGTGTGTGTGCGTGTGTACTGATGTGTGTGTGCGTGTACTGATTGTGTGTGCATGTACTGATTGTGTGTGCGTGTGTGTGTGTACTGATTGTGTGTGTGTGCGTGTGTACTGGTGTGTTTGTGTGTGTGCGTGTGTACTGGTGTGTGTGGTGCGTGTACTGATGTGTGTGTGTGTGTGCGTGTACTGATTGTGTGTGCGTGTACTGATGTGTGTGTGTGTACTGGTGTGTGTGTGAGTGAGTGAATGTTGTTACAGTGAGTTATTAACACTGAGATCTTCTGAAATCATGTGTGTGTGTGTGTGTGTGTGTTACAGGCAGATCGAGGGGAAGGTTGTGGAAATCTCTCGTCTGCAGGAAATCTTCTCTGAGAAAGTCCTACATCAGGTCAGAGACCTCACCTCCTTTCTAGAGGGATTGAGTTTTAGAAATCTTTTATTGAAATGCTTTAAGCAAACCATTATCAGGTATTAAATTCATAATCTGTTGAAAACAACTGTGTCTTGTCTCGTCACAATTGATTAGGAGTTACATCACACAGATCATGTAAACCATAGATTTTAAATTAAAAAAGGTGAAATGTGACCCCAAAAAAAGTAGTTTGGGTCACTCGACAGCATTCATCAGCTGGTTGTCGGTGCCACAGAAAATGTGAAAGAAGGAAATGAAGATATTAGAGAGGTAAGAAAACCAATAAACACACACATATCACATTATTTTTGATGTAAGAGTGGCATAAATTCAGCATTTGTAACTTGAATGTGCTTCCAGTGTTTCACTTAGAGTAAGTTTTCCTTCATAAGTCACATGGGTGTGTGTGTGTGTGTGTGTGTGTCAGGCGATCAAGAATAACGCTGGGTTCCGCGTCTGGATTCTGTTCTTCCTGGTCATGTGCTCGTTCTCACTGCTGTTTCTGGACTGGTATGACGGCTGAACCACGAACCCAACCGGATCTCACTCAGATGTTTGATTCACTGCAACGCTTCGATGTAAGAACTTCTGGAATAACCATTTAGAGAATATCAACTGGAAATTGATTTGGACTTGTAATAACAAATTCTGTGTCACAAATAACGTTAGTGAAGTTTACTTTAAAATGATACATATTTATCCAACTATAACCAGTTCCTCAAGAGATACAGAGCTGATCTCTGAATTTAGTGCTTTTTGTGGAATGCATGTAGAGACTGTTTTGCATCTTTTTTTTTAAATGTATGTATGTTCAATTTTTCTGGATTGATGTTGAATATTTATTTACTATGTTGAGTGGATCTAAAACTAATATAAGTAAAAGAGATGTTATTTTATTTTGATAAAAAAAGATATGGATAAGAGTCACATTTTTATGCTAAATCTTCTAATATTAAGTGTTTCGGGACAGTTGACAGAATGGTCACTTGCCTAATTGCTCATTGTTGCATCTTCACAAACATGTATTATTCTCACGTCTTTTCAAGCATTGGGTACTCGGCGCTCACAGTCACATCCAGAGCGCGCGCTGCAGTCAAAGTGAGCTTAATGTTGAGCTTAAGCGGCCAAACACACACACAAAATGACATCAAAATGGTCGTCCTCGCGAGTATCCTCATAAGCACTGTCGGTTTTGTCTTAAGTTAATGTAAACAGTTGCAAAAGAAAACGCATGTGTATCAGTATTGGATCCGAGAAATAGGTCTCGTGACAGCAGCAGCCTAATAAAGCTGTGCCGTCTGTCATTAATATTAATCAAACAACAACAGACAGAGTAAATCCCTCACTGCTCTTGACTAAATAATGTTAATTTATAGTTTATTCAATTTCTGTAGCCTATTTAAAACACGTTCATATTTTAGAAAATAGTTAATATTTGCATCATTAATGATTTATCTTATCCACCTGCGACCCACCCGCAAATAATCAGAATGCATTTGTTTATTACCCGACCCAACGGAGCTTAATAGAGTGGGGAACTAGGTATAGGATTTCTCCATAGGCTTTTGGATGATCGCAAAAAATAAGCTCTGTGTTCAACCATAGTTCATGAAACGTACACGTTTTGTCCATCAAGATAATCTTCACAAAATAATATAACTTTGATGAATTTTGAAGCCTAAATAGAAGCGTCAGAGCTTAAAAGCTAAACTTAGGCTATAAACGAACCACAGCAACAACTGTTTCAAACTTATTTTTAACACGTTCAGTGAAAAGGATTTAGTCTGTATATGAATTTTAATCCACGCTACATGAACCGTTTCATATAAACTGGAATAAATACAAAACTAGAGCCAAACTAAAACTGAAATGAGACAATAATAATATATAGTATAGTGAATAAATGAAATAATCATAACTAAAGGACATATGAAAGCACGTATTTCTGTACATTTCGAAATAAGGTGCATTAAAAGTCAATAAATCCTTGATTAATATGAATATTTTAATTAAAAACGTGTCTCCACAAACTATTCAATAAAATTCCAGTGCATTTAATCTATTAAATAACAGCAGAGTGAGCCAGTTTTTGGATATGGTAAGATTAAACTTACTTTAGTGAATAAAGTACCACATTTCAGCTTTGTTGCCGTAAACATTTAAATGTAACGTGGCTTTAAGCACTATGCATCGTTAAAGTTTCACTTTCTCCGTGACTAAGCCATTAAATGTGGTGTTTACATGGAATAATCATATGAGTCTCTGCATCAGTATAGCTAAGCGATAGAACCAGCATCTTCCATCTGAACACTTGTGTTGCATTTCAGGGCAAAGCTAAAAAACATCGTGAACAACCATATAAAATGCGGGAAACTATTAATTGGTTATTCTACAATTAATTGTATTACAAATTATACTACGACTGGAAAATACTGTAAACTGATAAACTGTTGGGCGTGATGACGTTTAATGTCTCCGACAGCGTCTGTAGTCCCATTTAGCTACTTGTTAGCAAGTATTACAAATTATACTACGACTGGAAAATACTGTAAACTGATAAACTGTTGGGCGTGATGACGTTTAATGTCTCCGACAGCGTCTGTAGTCCCATTTAGCTACTTGTTAGCAACCATCTTTTTAAAGAAACGTAAAAATCACGAGTGGGGTGTAACTGGTGTGTTTTATGTCGTAGAATAAAACGTGAAAGTATCTAAAGTATCTTTGGTTATTCTACAATTAATTGTATTACAAATTATACTACGACTGGAAAATACTGTAAACTGATAAACTGTTGGGCGTGATGACGTTTAATGTCTCCGACAGCGTCTGTAGTCCCATTTAGCTACTTGTTAGCAACCATCTTTTTAAAGAAACGTAAAAATCACGAGTGGGGTGTAACTGGTGTGTTTTATGTCGTAGAATAAAACGTGAAAGTATCTTGAGCCTGTGTGAACCACGGACCTTATTTTAGGGATTTAACCAAAATCCCATTCAGAAAACCCACTGACTCTGGGACATGGAACCGGAAGTGCTAAAATGCTAACTCGCTTCCGGGTTTTTGCTACAAAGTGACGTCATAGTTCCGCCACTCTATTGTAACATATATTTGATTACTGTGAGTTTTTTATTTTATTTTAATTCACCTTATGCTGCGTTGTCATTTATTATGAGCATTATGAGTATTACATATTCCGTATAGGGGGTTTTATCATTAACTAAAACTATTAAAAGCATTTTTGTAAATGGAAATAAAGCTGAAATAAAATTAAATAGAAATATTAGATGAAAAACCTTAAACTGAACGAAAAAGATAAATCTTGCCTTGGCAATTAACTGAAATAAGTGTAAGTTGAAGCACTAAAATTAATAACTAGAAATAAATAAAAAAAATAAAGCTGAAAAAAAATGGTATTCTTTAACACCCCCCCCCCCCAAAAAAAAGGAAAAAAAATGACAAAAACGCATAACAAAATTAGTACAAATGAAACTAAAATTAAAATAAAAAGCAAATATTAGATAATTTACAATATCAACAAAATACATAAATAATACTAAAATAACACTGATTCCATCTAAATTTATGAAAATCAAATGTTTCCTTTTTTTTGTCCTAAATCCCCGTTCTGTTGTTTTCTGTTCACGTGTTCGCGGAACTTGTATTATTTCCTGTTTCCTGTTTCCGTCCGGAGCAAAAACAGAGCGGCACCGCGTTTCAATCGCGTGTTTTTACCAAGCGGCAACCTCCCGCTCTCTCTCGTGAAGCCAACACGGAAGTGACTTAAACTGTAATTCATCAACTGGCCGCTAGAGGCTGGCTGCAAAAGGGAGTCAATCCCATAGACTCCCCATGTTAAAATGCCTAAATTTACAGCAGAAAAAAACATGTTTACAGCCTGGTTCAAAAAATTATTTTGGTCTATATAGCTAATTTTGCCCTTCATGACAACTGTGAGGGGGGTGAATTTTTTTATAACTCATCCGTTTAAATTATATTAAGCCTTAAAGTTCTGCATAATTAAGGGCGTGGCCACTTGAGTGACAGGTGGATTGCCGCTGCTGTCACCACCGTTGAGCTAGGTGGGCGTGGCTTCAGCAACCTGCTCTCGTCTCTTTGCCCATTTTCGATTATCCGGGAGTGACGCCCGGTGAAACGCTGCCAAGATGGCGACGGCCGGCTCCGCCCAATTTTGAGCTTCAAAAACGCTCTTCGGAAATCTATGGGTGACGTCACGGACACTACGTCCATGTTTTTATACAGTCTATGGTTTTTACTGAACAACGAGAAGTTCCGTTAATCCCGGAGACTCGTTCACCGGGATCAAGAGAACCGGACCGGCGAGCCGAATCATTTGTGTAGTTCAGTAACACGCATGTGAAGCAGAGAATCACAGATCAGCTTTATTAAGGTACAGGAGCACAGGTAACATATCATATGCATCATCAATCCAAGATAGTTTCACGATTGTGATTACAAAATGAACACAAGCCTTAGAAACCTCCACGAGAGAGTCCAGAGGCGTCTTTAACCTAGAAACTCATCGACATTGATGGTTCCGGGCTTGATGACCAAACAGTGAGGATAATTAGCTGAATTCAGTCACTGTAAAATAATTCGACATCATAATGTGAATCTGTGGAAATATCTTGGATCTCTCCAGTTGATCTGACGCTCTCAACCAATGACTGACCGGAGCGCCGCAAGCCCCGCCTCCCTCATTTACATGTCGCACACGAAAAGTAAAAATAAATAAATAAATACATGTGGGAATAAATAAATATAAAAAATAAATAAACACATGAATAAATAGATTTAAAAATAAATAAATAAAATAAATATAAAATAAATGAAAGAATAAATAAATAAAAGTTCAAAAGAATAAAAACAAATGTAAAAATACAGAAAATAATACATATAGGAAAAAGGTAATAAAAAATAAATCCAGGATTAAATTTTATTACAAATGAACTATATTTGTTTTTATCAAGTCATTTATTTCCTTATTTATTTTCCTGTTATTACATATATTTGTTTATTTATATATCTATATATTTATTTATTTTTAATTTCTGCAGGATTGGGCCTCCATAGATGTGGACGATTCTCCATAAACGTCCTATCATACATATGAACAGTTTTATTATAAGAAAGTACTCTTGGAGGAAAAGATGAATTGTGATGCGTCATAATCGAATCAAATCGTGAGGCAGCTGAAGATTCACGTGTGGTTTGGCCATAAGTGCTCCGCAGGGCTTCAGATTATTACAAACCTAAACGTTTGTGACAAATCCGTCAGCTGTCCCGAGAGTCTTTCACGCTGGCCTTACTGTCGAGCTTAGTTTGAATTAAAAATGCTAAAATACAACTTTGATGATAAACACTTATAAAAGTACTGTAGCACGTTCCAGAGGTTTCACTCAATTAAGACTGAATCAAACTCTGCAGGTATTTCACCAGAATAATAATGTTTGATTATAATTACACTGACTGCACCACTGCTGTATTACACTTAAATTCATAAAAACATGGGCATGAAATATGGATTAGAGTGCAGATG